TCCTAAACAGCTTGTTGGAGCTCCTGCCCCCCCTCCCTGTGAGCCCAGTGTGCTCTGATTGGTCGGGACGTTGCGAGGCTCGTTGTAATAGCTCTAAGAGGCTGTAAAGACTAAAATAGCACTTTGTATAAAGTCCATTAACCATTTTTGGATTGGCCTCAGCAATAAACCTGTTCTCATCTGCAGTCTGAAGGTTTCTTTACCCTCATCATGACTTTCGTTATTCTTATTTTATTTTTATTTTTTTACATGTCATTTGTTAGACGCTTTTATCCAAAGCGAGTTACATACATTCAGTACTGTGGACAATCACCACAGGAGCAATTTGGGGTGAAGTGTCTTGCCCAGGGACACAACGACATACTGACTGCAGTGGGACTCCAACTTGCTATCTCCTGATTTGAAGTCCAGCACACTACCCACTGAGCCACAGCCTCCACTTAATTGCTGAAGAAAAGAGCAATGAGGAGCGAAGAGGATAATTCACACAACTTCAGTTGAACTTAGAGAGGAAACACAGTTTTGAAGGATGGAAAAGAGTCAGTGTTTCTTAAAGACTTCAGGCATGACAAAGCAATACATTCCTCCATGGTGCTGCATTAATAGGGTCATTAAGAACAAATGACTCCACTATCTTGTCAAGTTTTACTTCAATTGAACTTTTATAAGGAAATACCCTTTAAATTCAAAGTTTGAAAATGAATACCCCGGGATAATATTTGTTGGAAATGCTGTGAAATTGCATAAATACATGGCAGCACTGAGTTTAAAAAGGATAAAATGAAAAGAGTAAGTGTGACAGCAGCAAAATAACTTTTCCATGTGCAAAACAGGAAACTAACTTCATGGCTTTGAGCTCATAATTATTTCATGTCATGGTTTTAATAATAATAATTGCGAGAATGGGTGGAAATGTGGCTTACTTGCACAAAGTTTTTGATGAAGGAATATTTTCTTTTGGCTGACCCAGAGGTTGTCTGGTTTCCTGACACCATGTCTGATTCTCAAGAACTGTTTTGTTTTAATGTTTTCCAGGCACCAGGCTGACGTAATGGAGACAATATCAATCAATATGATGACTCAAAATTCATGCATGATAAACTTAGTGTGTGTGTGACTTCACTTTCTTGAAAAGGAAATAACCTAACGCTCTGAATTGACTTGGCTTCCTCATCAAATAATCATGCTGTCATCATCTGAAAGCTCACATTTCCTCTCTGCTCAGACACAGTATCAATCTCTTAAAGTGTTAAAGAAACATTTTCTAGCATGCCTTGAAGGTGTATAAAGAATCAAATAATAAATTGATGTTATGCCGGAAACACCTAGATTATCCTGAGTTTTACTTCTGAAACATGATGACATCACTATGTAACACTAGCGCTTCTATTGGCTAATGCTCAAACACATTGTACGTGATAGGATAAGGTGGGACATCTCTAAGCGGTTGACCAATCACAACAGAGCTGGCCAGCTAACCAATCAGAGCAGACTGGGCTCTGGTTTCAGACAGAGGGTGAAAAGAGGTGCTACAGCACAGGCAGCATGAGAAAAATAAAGAGCTTTTTGAACATTAAAGCAGATAACATGTCACACTAGAGACACAACATATAGATATGAACCCTTTAAGACTTTTCTCTTTTGATATATTATTTGTTCATAGACGGATACACAAGTAAAACAATGTTGTCTGCAAGACTTCATGGTACCACAGGTTCAAGGTTCTTTATTGTCAAGCTAACATAGCTACAGAGTAATTGTGTCGTTGAAAATCTTAGGTCACAGGGAAAGTTATTCATAAACAAATTGCAATTGTGGCTGAAGTAATCCTTTAAGTGTCTGTAAACAACAACATCAAACAGATGGCTATGAGTTGTCAGAAGGGAGACTCAAAGGCAATGAGTTAAATTTGTTCAAATTCACGTCGAATGAGAACTCATGTGGAGTATGCAAACCAACAAAAAAACAAAACACTTTCCTCTGAAGAGGGTGTGTTTCAACATGAGCCTGAGGAAGATGCAAGAAGGAAGGATTCGAGATTTAGAGTTAGGAAGCAGAATATAACAAAATACATCTTGAGTAATATTTACAGATGTTCAGAACCAATGTTTAGCTTTCTTTCTTGATGTTCAATGGTGTGAAGAAATGAGGGACGCCAAAAGATGTGTGAGTTTGGAGGTTTGGCAACTTTTAAGCAATATGAAAATCTATTGTACTGAAAACTAACTTTCCCCTTCGTAAGAAATAGCTATATTTGTTCTTTATAGACAATTTCTTTACACGATCCAATGAGATTTAAAATGGTTTAATTCACCTAAAGGGTAATTCCACCAATATTACACATCAAAGTTGAGTCCTACTGCACATGTGAAAAAAGCTGTATAAAGACATTTTTACTGTGTGTGAATCTGATCACTCGAGTCATCTTCCGGCGCAGACTGAATACACATCTCTTTCGACTCCACTTCGAGCGATAGAATTGCTAACAAAGAACTGCTAACAGAGCACTTATATACTAACAAATGACTGGCTTATCTAAAGCCAGTTGAGTAGCACTTGAAATGTTTGGCTCTATGAAACCTGATGTACTTATATGATTCTGTTTTCTTCAAGGTTGTATCTTCCTGGTCGAATGCACTTATTGTAAGTCGCTTTGGATACAAGCGTCAGCTAAATGTAATGTAATGTAATGTAATGTAATCCGTTGGAGCTGTGGCTTAAAATTTAAAACGTTGTGGATATTATGGGGTTTCTACCTAGAAGCGAGGTTTCTGTACCCTGTTTCTCATGCTCAAGCTAAGAGGCTATAGGTTACATAGGTCCCTCTAACGTAACACAATGTCCAACCAAACTGTCAGAGGTCAAGCGGCAACGTGGGTAATGTATTCATTTTTGACAAGGAAGATACAATGGATAAGAAGGACAATATTTCTGGTTCTGCTGCATAGACTTTGATCCCTTTTCTGGGTAAACTGTCTGATAATGCTAGTGCATTGCTAAGTAGGCAACTCTTTTAACAACAATTAGAGATAAATATACCAAAGTCCCTCTGTTGCGTAATGACTTATTATTGAAATCCTTAAGCAATTGCTGAATGGTCCCTGCTCAGATTGAGTGTCCTCGTACATTTCCAGCTCTCTTAGAAATCAATAATTGTTTTCTCTGTGCTGCTCTTAGTTCAGATGGTCTTTTGTTTGTCCCCTGATATTTTTCCCTTTTTGGAGCACTTTGTTTTCCTTTTGTGTGTCATTTATATATTTGGTGGCGTTTTTCCTTGTCGGTTTGAGTCCATATCTGCTTTTTACTAAGTGTTCCTTGCAGTGAGCTAAAGAACCACAAGTGCCCGCAATAATGATAATAATAAAACCTAAAATAATCCTGGATAGACTGTTAATTGTTATACTCTGTTATACAATTCATATTACATTAGTATGACCAGAAGATCCTATTCTAATTAAGTTGCATACATTAGCTGTAGATCTGATAATTCAGTAAAAATATTAGTTTTTAAATCACCAACACCTTCTGCGCTCAGAAGAACAACGTACACATCACAGCTTTGAATGAGAGGACTTTCTTAATCATTCAAAATCAGGGGAAAAAAAAAAAAAATAGTCGGTGAAAAACGGACTGCATAAACCCTGGACAACAAAATAAATCTAGGGAAAAAAACAGCATCTAATTCAAAGCGTGCCCTTAGGTGCACAATGGTTAATCCGGTCCCCATCCTTTAATCCAATTCTGGCTCAGATGTTTTCCTCACATCACATAATGGATTTTTATTTTTAGAACCTTAGTCAAACATATTTTATTGGCTTATCATTATGGCCATCAAAAGTTCAGCGTTGGATAAGAGTAATTTTCTTCCCCACTGTTTTTCTATTTTAAAAGGTTGCTGCAAAATGAAATATCCATGACTGATGGGAAATAAATATGTCATGAATACATACAAAATAGAAACGCATGTTATCAAAGTGATAACATTTTGTACTTTTTGTTGTTGTTTTTATCTTTTCACACAAAATAATTCCTTTCTCAACACTCCTTTTGGAAAGCATAACATAAGACTTTCAGTCAGCTGCAGGTGATTTCCTGCTGTCACAGACACATCATGTACTTCTAGGACATGAAGGGACAAATGACAACCTGCTTCTTGCAATCCTGTATAGGGTTGACAAAAGAGAATTCACATAAAGCCTCAAATATAAGTATTTTAACAGAAAACAATATGAAATGTGTAGCCCTCGAGGAATAGACGTCTTCTTGATTAATTTCACACCCACACGTACTTTAGAGTAGGAAAATAATGCGTAAGAAATAGCGGTGTGTATTTTGGAAACACTTAATTTGTATGGCTACTGTCGAAACAAAAATAAAGACGTTTTGTGCAGAATGCGACAGATGTGTACAGCCTCCAAGGTGGGATTGAGTTTTGAAGTGACACCTCGCACACTGAAGCTGTCCGCCTTCACGGGTTTGGCTCCAGCGAAGCGCAGAAGGAACAAGTTGCACAGATCGCCGCCTCGACAGGATTATTGAGGAGAGAAGGATCGGGATTCAATGGCATTTAATGCCGGGCTGATTACACGCGTTATTGACTTTGATAAAAGAGACAGAGGGGGAAGAGGCGTTTGAACAAAAGATCAAACCTGAAGAAAGGTAAGTAAGTGAGGTCGATTTTCATTTACAGTGTCATTTACAAAAGTTATTGGCTAATGAGAATGTGGAAATTCAACAAAATAAGATGTTTATAAATACTGATCGTCAGTAGACCTATTGATAAAGTAGCGTTCACTGCACCCATAGTCACAGCCAAAACGGCATGTGAGCTGTGTAGTAAAATGTTGAAAACACCCTATTTAAAGCTGAAATTATGGGTTATTTCACACAATTATACATTTGCGTGCATTTTTAAAGCATCTGAAGTTTAAATCCAATACTACAAGTGAAAAATGCATCCAAACTGCCAGTTACCCCCCTCTCCAGATTTAATTTCCAGCATGTCAGCCAATGGGAGCTCAGAGGCAGGTTGCAGGTCAGAGGTCAGACCCAGCAACAGCACCTGCAGCCAGAAAGATATTTCTGTCACCGCCTCCGCCATCTCCATGACTGTGGGCGTCCTCTCCAACAGCCTCGCCCTGTTCATCCTCATCACCTCCTACAGCAGCATCCGGATCAAGTCCAAGGCGTCCTTCCTGCTGTTCGCCAGCAGCCTGGTGGTCACAGACCTGCTGGGTCACCTGATCAACGGCTCCCTGGTGCTCATCGTGTACAGCTTCCACAAGAACTGGGAGACGTTTGACCCCCACCACATCGTGTGCAGCGCCTTCGGGGCGTGCATGGTGTTCTTCGGACTGAGCCCCTTGTTCCTGGGGAGCGCCATGGCGGTGGAGCGTTGCCTCGGAGTCACCAGGCCTATCTTCCACTCGACAGCGTTAGCCTCACGCCACATGAAACGGCTGCTGGGTCTCACCTGGCTGCTGGCTGCTCTGGTGGCGCTGCTGCCGGTGATTCTGCTGAGACCCTACAGGGTTCAGAGCTCCAGGAGCTGGTGCTTCTTCTACATGGAGGAACCAAAAGACTGGCTGGATGTGCTGCTGCCTCTGCTGTTCTCCATGCTGGGGCTGATGGCCCTGCTGCTCTCCATCGTGTGCAACGCACTGACCAGCTGCACTCTGCTGCAGGCCAGACTGCGCCGCAAGCACCACTGCAGAGGCACGTCCTACCACATCGAGATGATCTGCCAGCTGCAGGCCATCATGTTGGTGTCCTGCGTGTGCTGGGGTCCATTACTTGTAAGATTTCTCGACATTTAAAGAAGACATTTCTGGTTCATATTTGTATTTGTGCTTCTACTGTGACATGTCTTGCTTTAATTTTCGAAAAGCTCTTTATTTTTCTCATACTGCCTGTGCTGCAGCACCTCTTTTCACCCTCTGTCTGAAACCAGAGCCCAGTCTGCTCTGATTGGTTAGCTGGCTGGCTCAGTTGTGATTGGTTAACTGCTTAGAGATGTCCCGCCCCTTAGCCTATCACTTACAATGTCTTGGAGCTCTAGCCGATAGAAGCACAAGTGTTTCATTGTGATGTTACTATGTAAACAAATGAGTCCCTCTGGAGGAAACTTTTAAATGTTAGCCGTTGCAGACCATTTACTGTCAACCCGGTATCACGGCAAGACGTGAACATGTGAGGATTTAACACACGCTGGGAGACGTGAAGATGTCACGATTTCGTCCCTTCAAACGTGACTGTTACAGAGTATTGTTAACCCATGTTAACCAGTGGAAAAATACCCGGAAATGCCAAGCAAATGCTACCCGACGGTCGGTTGTTATTCTCAATATTAATATAATAATGATTTATTTTTTAATAGTCACACTCGATTACGCCAATTTTCTTGTTGCCCCAGCTGGTCGACACCTCTTTTAGCAGAAACAAAGGCTACATTAATGTATTAAATCGATGTTAATCCATGTGTGTGGATGTGGAATTAACGGACGTGACGTTGTGCGATTGCGTTGCCAGGCAACAGCTTCGGTTCATGTTAATTTACAAACTCTTCAACTACAACCGTAGTTATATTTAAAAACATGTTAGAAGGCCTCACAAAATAGTTTAATCTAAATTTAAATGTGAAGGAATGTGTGTATACCTATGGTGTATACAAAATACATCCGTCATAAACGAAACCGGAAACAGACGTAGGCAAGATCCTCAGCTCGATAATTGGATGGTTTAGCCGCAATGCACGCTGGGATTTGGGGTTTATTCGATGTGAAATCCGAAAACATTTTTTTTAAATAAAATAATACTTTATTCCGAGTGTGCTTGCTTTTCTCTTTCAAAGTCATCACATAACGGCATTGTAATACACGGTTCGGCTGCATTAAATGTTACATCTGCCGTAGTTCTCTATTTATAGAGCCCTGCTGAGAAGACTTCTAGACAAACAGGAGAACTGCCGCCAAAACTGAAAACGTTACCTGGATCATAAATATATAAGCAATTAAACAACATCTTACATTTCTTTTCACACAATAAGTCTCCTCGCAGTATCAACACTAATTCGGCTGACTTTTATATTTGATCCAATTGGTAGATAGGCTGTATTTACACCATAACGGTGCAGAGCTGATAGAAAGGGACACCTGGTGGTTGAAGAACGTTATTGAATTTTATTAATAGGATCCCTATAAAGTATATTCATTATTTGTTATTCTATACTAATAGTTAATTAAATACTGTATATAATGACTAGTTTGCACATCCCTTTGAAGATTTCAAGATTTTCTAAGCTAAGGTTTATTGACATATCATATACACAACTACGGTGTAGTTATGCAATGAATGAAAAACTTGGGTCGCAGGTTCCTCAACAGTGCATTACAAGACATATATCAATATGTGTGTATACCTCCACCATTAAACTGTCATTCTGCACATTTCTTATACTATCTACATACATCTTATAAGAGTATAATACATATGTATAATATCAGTTAATAATAAAAAAATAATAAACAAATAAGTGCTTAAACATAGTTAACATTGCAGGAAAGCAATATATTAGACTAATTAAGTACTTTGTCAGGCTTAATATTTATCTGTTCATACAAATGTCACTGTGTGTGCTGTGTGCTCTGCATGTGTGACCATTAAAGAGGGTTTCATCCCTCCATATTCTTCTTCTATACCCCCAAAGCTTTTTTCTTATTCAAAAGAAGACCTTAACCTAAAGTACTCTTTAATGTTTAAATTAAGCCTTATTAGTTAGTCTGCTTTGCACATCCTCCTATTAATATCTAATAATACAATTCAATAACATGCGAGTCCTAAAATTCCCGGATCCTGACAGTATGAACCGAACAGTAATGGACTCAGCAGTTTCTTTTTCGTTGGCTCAATAGGCGGATCACCTCAAGTACGCCTTAGAGTACATTTTTTATACTTGGTTGGCAGCCTCATCCTGACGGGCTAAAGAGGCTGCTTTGAAGGAGGCACGCCAGGAGGTTGCTCGCAAGCCCTGGCTCAGGAGCTCGTTGCCTGAGTGGCTTAAGACTTTTACAAGCAGCCCTGAAAGCTTGTCTCGAGCCTCTGAACCTTTCTTGGGGTCTGGCCTGGCGTTTGGAGGTCCAAAGAGCCTCCCAAGGACCTCTAAAAAATGCAAGGTCAGGAAGCCAGCTCGTGCTCCAGTACCGGTCCACACAGCCATCGTTCTGTGCTCCAGTGCCGGCCCACACAGCCATGGTTCCGTGTTCCGGTTCCTTGCCCAGCAGCCATGTTTCCGGCTCCAGTGCCGGCCCCAGCAGCCATGGTCCCTGTTCCAGAACCGGACCTTACAGCCATGTTTCCGGTTCCAAAACCAGCCCACACAGCCATGATCCAGGCTTCAGTTCCGGTTCCCACAGCCATGGTTCCGGCTCCAGAACCGGCCCATACAGCCGTGGTTCCGGCTCCACTTCCATCCATGGTTCCGGCTCAAGTACCGGGACCAGCAGCCATGGTCCCGACCCCGGCTCCTCGTC